GAAAACTACTGGGCATAGTTGACCAATGTAGCAAAGTGTCAGGAAACTAGATCAACATACAAAAAAATCAATTGGGTTTCTCTACAGTGACAAAGAAAATACAGAACTGGAGCTTAATAAAACAATACCCTTCACAATTGCTAATCACAACATTCAATACTTGGGAGTACATCTAACCAAAAGCACAAAAACTCTATTCAAAGAAAATTACAAAGCATACTACAAGAAACACAAAGAGACCTGGAGAAGTGGAAGAATATCCCTTGCTCATGGATAGGAAGACTCAATATTGTGAAAATGACAGTACTACCAAAGGTAATTTACTTGTTCAGTGCAATCTCAGTACAAATACCATTCCATTCATCAACCAGATGGAAAAGGCAATCTCCAATTTTATTTGGAATGGAAAGAGGCCCCAAATAAGCAAAGCACTACTTAAGAAGAGAAACAAGGTAGGAGGCATCTCACTCCCTGATTTCAAATACTACTACACGGCTGTTGTGGTCAAGACAGCGTGGTACTGGTACAATGACAGACACATAGATCAATGGAATAGAATTGAGACTCCAGGAATCAGCCCATCTACCTATTGTCAACTGATTTTTGACAAGAAGATGAAATCAGTTAAGTGGGGAAACAACAGCCTTTTAAACAAATGGTGCTGGCAAAATTGGAAAACTATCAAGATCCACACATCACTCAATACACAAAAACCAACTCAAAGAGGACCTTGGACCTAGTACTAAAACAGATGACTATAAACTTCATTAAAGAAAAGCTTGGAAGAACTCTCAAAGTCCTAATCCACCACATAAGCAGTCTTCCAAACATCCTGGAAAAGCTACAACCAGGAGAGGATAAAATAGATGAATGGGGCCTTCTAACAATCAAAAACTATGCACATCCAAAAACTTCAACAGGGTGAAAAGGGAAGCCACAGACTGGGAAAACATATTTGGTAACGACATGTCAGAAAAGGGACTTATATCTAGAATTTATAAAATACTCGAGCGCCACAACAAGATAAAGGTAAATAACCCAATTGAAATTTGGCACAGGATATGAACAGACATTTCACCAAAGAAGACATTCAGATGGCCCAAAAGCACATAAGGGAATGTCCAAAATCCCTAGCTCTAAGAGAGATGCATATCAAAGCAACTGAGATATTATCCCACCCCAGTCAGAATAGGAAAATTGAACAGAACAGCAAACATCAAATGGTGTTGAGGTTGTGGAGAACCTGGAACCCTTATTCACTGTTGGTGGGAGTGTAGAATGGTGCAATCACTATGGATGGCTGTATGGTCCTTTCTCAAAAAGTTGCAAATAGAGATACCATTTGACCCAGCAATTCCACTACTGGGAATATACCCTAAAGAAACCATTGCTGTCACTCAAGGAAATATATGCAAACCCATGTTTATTGTGGCTTTGTTCACAATAGCAAAAATTTGGAAACAACCCAAGTGCCCATCAACAAACAAATGGATAGAGAAGCTGTGGTATATACACACAATGGAATACTATGTTACATTGAAAAGCAACAAACTCATGAAATATTATGCAAAATTATTGCCCTGGAGGACATTATGCTGAGTGAAATATCTCAGTCACAAAAGCACAAATATTGCAGGGGGCCACTGTTGTAAAACGGGGCTTTCATTAGAGTTGAGGGATAACTGAGAAAAATGGGATAAGTTATATATACTGCATTGAAACAGATGAGGGAGAGAACTGTTTAAAATGAATTGGGTCTTGTTTTCATGACAAGAGTCCAGAATGAAGGCTGCACATTGGTGTGGACTTGGCGGGAGGGATTGCATAACAATGAAAGAA